TGAGTGGAGCTGGCATCCAACCCCACGCCACGTGTGCAGAAAGCAGCGTGTGTGTGTGTGTGTGTGTGTGTGTGTGTGTGTGTGGGCGCATAGCAAGTCACTCGCCTGTAGGACGTTAACGTAACCAGTGGAAAACACCTCCTCTGCCACCTCACCCCAGTCCAACCACTCACTCATGCTTAAACCCGCCACCCCACCATGACCACGGCCTGCTTTCATGCAGCGTGAGGGTAGGGGGAGGTGGGGGCAGCAGCGTGAGGGTAGGGGGAGGTGGGGGCAGCAGCGTGAGGGTAGGGGGAGGTGGGGGCAGCAGCGTGAGGGTAGGGGGAGGTGGGGCAGCAGGAGTGTCAGCTGGCTCATTAAGGGAGAAGCCACAGTGCGGCCAATCGGAGCGCTGAGCCTGTATTGCACCCCCTGGTGGCAAATAGTTTAATGGTCTGACACAGAATCTTTTAAGGTGGAAACACCAGACATCAACAGTGGGTTGACCACCTTAAAATGGGCAGCCGCCCGTCACTGATTAACCAGAAAGCTAACAACTAATAGAGGGTTGAGCTCGTCTAAGAGGAGATTACCATTAATTGTTTTCTTGTGTGGGTCTGTTTACGGGTTACAGTCAGATCCCTCCCCCCTTCTCGATCACCCCATTCTCCTCCCCGATTGTGCCCTCATTACCTTTTTGACCGTTAAGGTACGTAGTAAGAGGGAGAGACGCTACGATCTGGATTCGCTCCGCCGCTCCTGCACCTGTAGCCGAGGCTGTAATTAAGTCTAATGTTGCACCTTAATTATGTTGGTACACACACGCGCGTGCACACAAACACACGCGCACGCACACACTTGTATGCGGCGGCTGTGCTCACTGCAATTATCTGTAGGGACATTTAGGTCTGAGATGAAAGACTTGAGTGGCAGTTGCCCGGGTAAACTGCTGCAGGGACACCTAGGGGGTGGGGCTAGATTCACACCGATGGGCGTGGCCTCTTCGCCTTCAGGACCTGGTTTTTTGATCGGGCTTGGATGTGGACGCCCAAGGAATCCCAATTTGAAACATTTTTGAGGAGTTTTAAGCATAATGCTTCAGGAACAACAGCACAGGGTAGAAAAAGCCTCACGGAAGGAATTGAATCATTTGAGAAAAGCTGGGGGGGGGGGGTAAATATTGTGTGTGGTTAGCCAGTGTGTTGTACAGGGGACAGGAAAGATAAAAGCATTCAGTTGTACCACTCACAAGCGCAGGACTTGGGGGACAGGCTGGGCAATGTTGGGACATGCGTACAATGAAGGGAGGGCCATTTTCAGCACTGCCACCCTGTTGCATGAAACTGGGGGGGGGTGAAAAACAAGTAGAATCACCGGCAAATCTAATGGCTGCTTTGGAAACCAAAACCTGTGTGTCCATGTGAAGTTAGGATAATAATTAACACTACAATGTATTATCTATCAGACATTTTTATCGAAGGTAAAACAGTCCCTGGAGCCATTAAGGTGCTTTCTCAAGGGCTCAACACTAACATCACTCCGGTGACCCTGGGATTTGAAGCAGCAACCTTCCGATGACAGTAACTGCCTTCCAACCCACTGAACCACACACTACCCGCTATAATAAACTAGCATACAACGTGAGCACCCAGGGCTAACTATGACAGCCATAACCCCCACCCAGCCCTAAGCATAACCATAACCATAAGTAACCAAAGTACAAGAGTTCTTGCATTTTTAGTTTTTTCATTGCAGTCACAGATTTTTATAAAATAGTGTTCCCATATGGGGACCAGGAAACTGGTCCCCAAAAGGAAAAAAAAAACGGGTATTCATCACGTTGTGGGGACATTTGGTCCCCACAAGGGAAGGTATGCCTGGACCACATACACACACACACACACACACACACACACACACAGACACAGACACAGAGCAATAGCAGTCTTGACACACCCCAGTACCTCCTTACACACTAACAGGGCGATTAATACATTCACGCAGACACTTGCACACTCTGCAGGTGTCATGAAGGACAGAACAAGCGACAGGCCTCAATAAGAGCAGGCATATCCGAGAGTGTTTCTGTGGAGAGAGCTGGGGTGGGACACCGCACCCCCCCCCCACCCCTCCGCGCCTCGGTGAAAAATGCCGGAAAGGCAATTTAAAAGCACCAGGGGACTCTGTACATGCGTGTCAGGAACTGGGGGGCACGGTGTAATTGATAACGGCAGCCAGCGATGCATGAAGGAGTCAAGAAGCCTGCAAGCTGGAGGTGGTGATGAGGGGGGTGTTCATCATTGCCATGCTGGCCGTTACGCATCAGAGGTGGAAACAAAACACAGCCCAATGGAAGTCTAACTCCATCCCCAAAACCTGTGTGAGCACACATTTTAGATATGGTGTCTGGCAAAGTTGTTTGCAGCCTCTGCCCTCAAACCCGACTCACTGTGCCCCCTGTCTCATCCAGGGAAGCTGGAGCAGTAAAAAGGGGACAGGGGTGTAGTTTCATGCCTCCCCGTTTAAGATTACAATGGATATTGCACACTAACCCTGCACTTCCTATGTCTCTACAGCCCCGTCCATGATTCCCATCATGCACCAGGTCAGCTCCACCATGACCAGCATCACCATCTCGTGGCCACAGCCTGAGCAGCCCAATGGCATCATCCTGGATTACGAGCTGCGGTATGCGGAGAAGGTAAGATGCTAAGATGCCAGTGACATACCCCGATGAGCCAAATTCTGTTTTTCTTTACTGCAAAGAGACGCTAAACTAAGTTAAGACTACTAAGCTAAGAGAAGCTAAGCTAAGACTACCAAGCTAAGAGAAGCTAAGCTAAGCTAAGACTGCTAAGCTAAGGGAAACTAAGATAAGCTAAGAGAAGTCTCTGAGCATTTACCTCCATTGATTGGTGGCTGCTCCCTCGAGTGTTGATGCTGTCAGTCATTTTGGCTGCCTAGACGATGAGATGGTTTTCTATTGCAGTCACTCTGTTCAAGTCTAGTGAACCTTTTGCTATGGAGGTTTACAGCTCACAACTGGTTAACCTGGAGAGATCGTCATGGACATGCTGATTGAGCTTGCTTCCTGGACGAGCATAAAGGGTTGGGTCCCCCCGGGAAATTTAACCTTCTTATTTATCACCCATGGCTTCCTGGGGAAAGATATGTTCACCATGCTTGTGAAAATAGCTCAAGTGTGTAACTTGACGTGCTAATGGCACCACAGCATGGCCTTCGGTGGGGATGACCTCTCTGTCACAAACTCTTCATAGTACTAATAACCTCCATTGCATGTTCACTGATCTCCAAAACCTAGATTTGAGAGACCACCTCAGCATCTGTCTTATAAAATTAATCCTGATTAGGGTTGCAAAATTCGGAAATTTATTCCCATATATTCCCATTAATTCCCGTGGAAAGTTTCCAACTTAGAATATTTCCAAAATTCCCCAAAATTTCCAAAATGGAAAGTTTCTGGAAAATTTACTAAAATTTACCTCTTTGCAACCCTAACCTCATTAGAGACATGTTATTCCAGCAGAAAGGCGGCAGGTCTGATCCTAGAAGGTTAAAAGGCTAAAAACTTTGTTGGGCATTTGTTTCAGGTCTGTCCTAAACAGACTGCCCGCTTCTGGGGCTGCCAAGTGCTCTTGTCAACCTTCAAACTGAGCGTTAATTGCTTTATTGAAGCCATTATTGGAATATTAATTTTCCTCATCCATAATTTCTAGTTAAAGTCATGTACTAATTAAAATGTATTCTGAAGCCCTGTCTTCCTGGGTTGGGTGCTCCTGTCCTAAGTAATTAAACACTCTGGGATATATATATACACACACACCCACATACACACAAATTCAATCAAGCTGTATCAGAAATTCAGAGGTGCCTCTTAACCTAACTACATGTCTTTGTGAGGGATGTGGATGAAACTCACACAACATGAGGAGAGCATGCAGAATTGGAACATACTGTATGGCACTGGAGGTGTGAGGCCACAGTGCTACCTTCAAATCCCCTTAATTCCCACCGTTCTGCCCTTTTAAACACCTGTGTGTGTCAAACATACCCCTTCCAAAAAACACCTTCAGGTTGTCACTAAAGTGTGACACAGAGCATCAGTTTTGGGTCCCTTTCACAGGGGACGTCACACTGCAGACCGCTGTGACAATTCCCAGACAAGCTGGAAGCCCAACAAATCAGAAAAAAATGTGACCAGCGCTCGAAATACGTGTACAAAGACCTGTGGACGGCAATCGGGTTCTGCTCAGTACGGACATATCTCTGCTGATGCTACCTTCCATTTTTAAAATGCCTTTTAAATATTTGTTTAAATGCCCTTTTATGCAGCTCACAGATAAGGTGTTAATTCCAAAGGAGCAGAGATTCCGAAGAGAGCACAGTGTTGCTAGGCAACAGCCACGCTCGGCTGGACTCGGATGGAAGGGCAGCTGTCGGGTCTTTCGCCGACTTCTGCGGCTTCACAATCAGCTCTCGGGGGTCCGACCTAACAAGTGGAGTCAGCTCCCCCCCCCCCCCCAAACCCTCCCGAGCTGGAGCTCTGAGTCGGAGCTCTGAACCACTCCAGAACATATTCTTAGTGTTAATCTCCAAGCATCGCCGAGATATCGAGGGATGTAAGACTTGAGGGGTGGTCTTGCTTGTGGCAGGTGATCTCAGACTTAGTGATAGACTGGAACAAAGCAGGTATGCACAGACTCACTGAGCCATCTCAGAGTCAGTGAGTCAGCTCAGAGTCAGTCAATCATCTCAGAGTCAGTCAGTGACCTCAGAGTCAGTCAACCATCTCAGAGTGAGTAAGTCAGCTCAGAGTCAGTCAATCATCTCAGAGTCAGTCAGTGACCTCAGAGTCAGTCAACCATCTCAGAGCCAGTGAGTCAGCTCAGAGTCAGTCAATCATCTCAGAGTCAGTCAGTGACCTCAGAGTTAGTCAACCATCTCAGAGTCAGTCAATCATCTCAGAGTCAGTCAGTGACCTCAGAGTCAGCCAACCATCTCAGAGTCAGTGAGTCAGCCCAGTATCAGCCATCTCAGAGTCACTGACTTTTCTGAGACCTAGCAAACTCCAAAGGGTTATCTCAGAGTCATCTTTAGAATGCACCTGATCATCCAGGAAAAGCATCCATGTCTCCATCACCTCTCTGTCCCTCCCCCTACCCCCCGCTTTGTAGAAGACAGTCTCTTCAGCTATACAGTAAAGTGCCTCCATGTCCTTAAGTGACACCCTGTCCCTGAGCATCAGGGCAACGATCTATCACAACATCTCTCCTTCAGAGCCTGGCAATGGCGTGCGGCGGCGATCGATAGGGTCACGCATTCCGGCGTTTTCCTCTCAGAGCTGTGGAAAGTTCAGATAAGCAGAACAGACGCTCTATGTGTGCAGACGGGCCAGGACAGAAACACAGCGGATGGGGAGGGGTACATAGTTTGGGTTCAAATCATTTGGGCTCATTGGTGGTAACGGGACCATGCGGGGTGCTGCACAGTGCCCACCTTCCTCACAAACCGATCCCGGGAGTGCCGTCATCCTCCTCAGCTGCCGCCATATGCAATGGGAGCGGGCGTCGGCAGGGCAGGATGACGGGCACAACCCGGGAAATGCTGACACATTCTCGGGCATGGGACACCCCAGGGCACTTAATGAGTCCTGGGCCCCCCCGAACCTCCCCTGCGAAGCCATCGTTTCCAAAGGCCCTGCTTCACCATTCATCCCACACCCCTCCCTCTCTGTCGGCCAAACCTCCCACATGACGCCTTTGTCCAGACCATACGTGAGCTCATACAGACATCCCGCCCCCCCCCCCTCCGGTGGTCTGCTGAGAAGCCATGGGGTGGGGTGGGGAGGCAGGCTGAGAGACAGTGCAGTGTGGCTATCGTCTGACAGGACGAGCCTCTCACTGGTTCATGCCATATATCACTTGGGACAGGTAAGCTTCTACCGGACCAGAGCTTTCGGTTTCCATGGTTTCCTTAAAATCGCTTTACTTTTGAATCCGTGCCCCCATTCAGAAAACCCCCCGTGTGGTCGGTCGGGGTGATTCCTCATTCCCACCACATCCCAGTTTTATTTATCTACCCATATACATTGCTCTCTGGGGCGACTTTCTACAGAAACAGCTTCACCTTGTTGCCGCCCCCCCCCCCCCCCCCATCAAGTTGCACAGCTGGGCAGGTTTGACGGCGCAGGTGCTTGGGAGAGAAGGGGATGTGTGTGGGGTGGTGATGGTGGGGGGGGGGGGGGTGGCGGGGGGCTGCAGGGGGCGGAATATGTCAAAGCTTGGGGGGGGGGACAGCCCCCCCCCCACCACCTTTTCACCAAGGATGTAGACGGCTGATTGAGCTCAGGGAGTTGCTCTTCTGACAGGGTAAATATGACGGGGAAGGAGGGAGGGGGTTTCTGCTTCTCTTTGGCTAATGTTCACTATTAACCCCTCCCCCAAACCTCTGACTGACAGCCCAACATCGAGTAGGATGCTCTGCTGACCTGCAACTGACTAGCCACAGACCTGCCACTCGCAGGCAGTGGGACGTCCTGTCGTCCCAGCATGCCGAGTGCCAAAAATCTTCACGGGGCTGACTTTTGGTCACACGCTCCACTGGCTGGCAGAAGTGATATTCGATATCTGTCACTGGACTGAAGGCTGTAGTCTCTGTCTGCGGAAACACTGACCCCCCCCAAAGACGCTCTAACCTACCTTAGCAAACTGCATCTGAGCCCATCGGTATTCCAGCTGGGAGGTGGGGTCATGCCATCCTTCGTGGGGGGAGGGGGTAGTACTGGCATTGTGGGCCTTCAGGACAAACTGTCTACCCCCCCCCCACCCATCCAGCACGTGTCGTTATCATGGACTTGTTGGCGTGTTCTTCTTACCGCTGCCCGATTAGCATTTCCGGCAGTGCGCTATCCCTTTGTGGCCCTGCAGTGCTGTGGCCTTTCGCTTGGCTCTCCCACCATGTTATGTAACACCATCCCTGATTGGCTGTTCTTTGGCTGACTGTTGTTGGTGGGTGTTCTCTGAAGCGAAATTCAGGAGCAGCTGGCTGATGAGACCTTTTTTTTTTGGGGGGGGGGGGGCACTTCCTGTTATAATAATTAATCCAGAACTTCGCTTTTCGTTTTTTTTTTTTAATGTCAGCCGAACTCGGTAATTGGCCTAATTCTGCCCGGAATTATTAGCTTCTCTCTCTGTTTCGAGAGGAGAGGGAGCGGCTACCTCCCATTCATTAACTGTGCTTCGGAAAGGGGGGGGGGGGGGGGGGGTCGTGAAGAGAGAAGCTGGGTTTGGGTGTCTGGAAGCAGAATTGAAAGGCGTGTGTCAGCTGACCTCCCCCTACACCTCTGTCGAGACTGGGGTGAGGGGGAGGGAAGGAGGGACAGAGAGACAGAAAAGGGAGAAAGATAAAGATAGAAAATTGAAAGAGGAGAGAGGTAGAGAAAGAAGGAAAGAAAGAAAGAAAGAAAGAAAGAAAGAAAGAAAGAAAGAAAAAGAGGTAGAGAAGGAAAAATGAAGACAGCTGGACAGATGACAGAGACGGAGGGATGGAGAAATGAGGAACAGGAGGTGTTGCAGACGAGCAGGTCAGGCTGCATGGTGCCTCACCTCCAAGCGTAAACATGCACCTCAGTGCTCCTAAGCCCACCCCCCCTCTGCCGCTCCTCCCTGCTCCCCCCACAGTGTCACACTCTCAGCTGAATGCCCCCGCTCCCTCACCGCTTTACCCACCGGCTGCGCTGATGAGCTCCCTCTGCTTTACCCCCACCGAGGGCCTCTGCAGCTACTGTCTCGCCCATCCCGTGCCAGTTTCCTTTCTCCTTACGATAACGCTCCCCCCCACCAGCTTCCTATCTATCTCCTCCCTCCTCCCTCCCTCCCTGTCACATTGTTTTCCCCTGCTCCTTTTATCTCCCGCGTCTCTCCCCATTACGAATCGTCGCACACGGGCTGCCTATAAATATCTGCCAGCTGAGCTGCCGGATTGGTATTACCTGGGAAGCGATACAGCCGCTGACGCCGAAATTCTTCTGCAGCTATCATCTGCTCCCAGTGCCCCTCACTGCTGAAGGCGAATCTCCCCCTCCCGTCATATTAAACTGACTTTGAAAGGTGGCGCCCCCTAATGGACAGGGCATGTAACAGCACCATGCCCCAGTTACTTTGCCTGAGTTGGCCCAGGACGGACTCATCAGAACAGAAAAGACGAAGCCTCAGCTACGATGTGAAGACCGAGGGGATCGGGGCCCCAGCTACAGTCGAAATTAGCACCCCATTTAAATCAACAGGCTGCGTGGACTTCTGAGCATATGGGCGCCCCCTGCAGGCTGAGGTCCACCAGTACCAGCACTATCTCTGGCTCGTCTCCAGCGATTGATAGGCGGGGTTCTTATTCTGGTCTTTTTTTCCACTGGCTTTTCTTTGATGGAAATGAAAATACAACAAATAATGTTTTTTTCCTTGTAATAACCTCAAAGTTCTCCAGTGTTTCTTTTATTTGGTGATAATCGTGTTCTTGGAATAAATTAGTCTTATTCCGTAATTAGTGTCTGCGGCACTTCAGACGCCACTAAATCAAGGACAATCCGAGCTCTTTCCCGCCTCTGCTAATTAGCCTGAAGCTGCCGCAGGGGAAACGTGCGCGTCTGTGTATATGTGTGTGCGCGTCTGTGCGTTTCTGTGTTTGTGCGTGTGCGCGTCTGTGCGTCTCCGTGTTTGTGCGTGTGCGCGTCTGTGCGTCTCCGTGTTTGTGCGTGTGCGCGTCTGTGTCTGTCTGTGCTGGTGTGCGTCTGTGCGTGTGTCTATGCGTGTCTGCCTCTGTTCTTGTCTGTATGTGTGCATCTGTGCGTGCATATCTGTGGCACGTACGCATCTGTGCTTGTGCGTG